AAGGTGAAAAGACGGGGAGCCAAGTCGCGGGCCGGGTTGATGGCATAGCCTGTGTTCATGCCTAGGGACATCCCAATGATGGCAATCAGGATGCCAATCACCACGCCCTGGGTCCCTTCCAGGGCCGGGCTGTTGTGCGGGTCCGTGATGGCGAAGAGACACAGCTGGAGCAATCCCGTCAAAAACATCTAGAGAGCAGACACCAGGGTAGCCGGAGGCCTCAGCGGTGCCCCAGGCCCAAGCCCGCAGGTAGACCGGCCAGGTGCCTTTGTCCTCCACAGAGTAAGGGGCAACCCGCCAGCCCCTCCCTGCAGGGTGGAGGGCTTGGAGAGGGGCACCCGCCCTTGACCACTGACCTCATCCAGGAAGCCCTGCCACAATGTCATGTGACTGGGAAGGTAGGTGGCAAAGATGCCGGCAGTGGCTGTGGGGCCGGTCACTGCCAAATTTCCTTTTGCGAAGTGCTTGATGGCCGCTGCGGAGACACAAATGGAGATAGAGACCCAGCACCAGGCAAGCCCTGCTCACCCCAAAACCAAACTCACTGCCATCCAGTCGATGCCAATGCATGCAGACCCTACAGGACAGAGTAGAACTGCCCCTGTGGGTTTCCAAGGCTGCCGATCTTTCTCACTGTGCTCCCGGGCAACAGCTGGTGGTTTGAAGTTAGCAGCCCAACACAACACACCACCCACTGTGCCACCAGAGCTCCTAGTCCCGCCGGGGTCCCAAAAATAAGGTTGGAGGATACCTCAAAGGCTTTCTTCTCCCAGTCACTTTCACAAGTCAGGACCCCGAGGTCCGATCTGCCCCGGCTTCAGAGGAGGCGGAAGCCAGAGGCAGACAGCCCCAGGCAGGACTCACTGTAGAAGAGGCCATAGATGGTGGCAGCAGCCAGGAAGGAGCCCAGGAACTGACCCAGAAAGTAGACAGGGAACTTCTTCCAGGACATGCGACCCAGTGCACACTGGGTGAAGGTTATGGCTGTGTTCATGTGGGCCCCTGGGAAGAGGGGGCACGTGGGTTAAGGGGTGACCACAGACACAAATCAGCAACACCAGTCAGCACCCTTTACCAGAGGTGTACTCTGTGCCCAAAAAGCAGGCACCTACAGCTCCATTGTGTAAGTATGAACAGAGATGTTAAATAACCCGCCTAAGATGGCCCAGCTAATTAAAAAAAAAAGTGCACTGAACTTTGAGCAAGATTCTGTAGAAGAATCCCCATCAAAAGGGAGGAAACTCAGAACAGAATAATTCCCATGCTCCTGGATTCGAGACTTTCTAGAGCTCTCGAAGCGGAAAAAGATTGCCCCCGAGATAATTTTTAAACCATAAATCAAAAAGATCCCCTGAAATCTTCAAATCAAGTAATGCACGCACACACACGCGCGCACAAACCCTAAGTCCATTGCCATTGAGTTTATTCCAATTCACAGCAGCCCTGCAGAGGGTTTCTGAGGCTATCCATCTCTATGGGCGGAGACCGCCTCATCTTTTCCCTGAGGAGTGACTGGTGGATTTGAACCGTTGGCCTTGCAGTTAGCAGTCCAATGGCTCTGATCAGAAAGCATCTGATGGTTCAGCTTAATTCATGAAGAATGTCTGCCTTGAGCATTCTGATCACTTCGGAACCGTCCAATGGGATCAAGTGGACCACCACCACCACCCCGGAGCATGTTTCTGGCAGCGGAGAAAGAAGCATTTGGAAAAGGAGGGCGACAATGGCTGCCCAGCTTGACGGATATAATCAACGCCCCTGGGTGTGGAAAGTGTTGCGTGGGTATATATCCCGCTATGTCTATTCTCAACACCAAGAAACATAGGTCAAAACGTACAGCATGTGTCCAGCGGGCTTGGGGAAGGGTTTGGGCCAGAGATGGGAGAGAGGTAAGGCGTTCCGCCCCACATGTTCTCCTCCCTCCAGA